AGGCTCTGGGTGGATGCACCTCTGCCTCTGACCTGTCCCACCGAGATGGAACCTTTTGAGGTCATGGCTGTTCCAGTCGGGCAGATCTTGTGCTTAAGTGATGTAAACTGGCCTCTCCCTCGGAACAAGGCACAGACTGTGCCCTGCACAGAGCGGGATGGAAGCACCAGCTTGAACCCTCCCTGCTCTGGGACATGGTGTTGTGTCCCATCTTGATTTCCCCTTGTTCTGTGCCATCTCCCATTCTGGGCAGCTGATCAGACGGGTGATATCGGAGACCTCCAGTGGTGGCGTGACAGGCAATGACGTCCTCATGCACTCCGTGGTTCCAGATCTGCCCTTCGGTGGTGTGGGTGAGTCCCTGCTCCACCCCCTGCCCCTGGATTCAGCCTCCCAGCAACATCCTCTGACCCATGTGCTGTTGTGCCCCTTTGGCAATTCAGGAACTTTCAGCTGCATTTTTCCCCATTAATGGGATTTTTTTTCTGTTATTTTCTCTTCGTAAAAAGGTTCATTAGTGTTTTGGTTTTTAGACCTCCTATCTTGAGAGAGGAAAACCCTCTGGCACATATGTGAGCTCTGGTTCTCCTGTGCTGAGGAGTGGGATGAAGTTGCCCGTGGCCGAGTGGCTGGCTGAGTTTCCACAGCCACTGTCAGGGTCCTGTAGCAGGGACAACCTGGCTGAGGTCTTGGTTGTTGCTGATGTCAGGGTGCTGAATGTCCTCCTCGTGTCCCACTCCTTGAAATCATAGATTCAGCTCCTCTTGTCACTGACCCCTGTGAAAATTCTGTGGGAGAGCCCTGGGAGGGTTGAGAACTGGTGCCATTAACCTTTCAGGGGTAGGTGCACACAACCAGCCTGAGCAGCAGTTCAAGACAGTGAGCAGGTCCTCACCTATTTCTGGGTAGTTAATAAAGCTGCTCTTTGCTTCTGTGCCCTGGGGGAGCAGAGCAGCTGCTCCAGGTGTGAGAAGCAACATGACCAAACTTTCCCCGTGTCCTGTGGGCTGTCAGACAGAACTGAAGAAACACAGGTGTCTCTGTACATGGTATGACCTGCCTGGGTTGTGTCCCTCAGGTAACAGCGGGATGGGAGCCTACCATGGCAGGTACAGCTTCGAGACCTTCTCCCACCGCCGCGCCTGCCTGATCAGGGACCTGAAGATGGAGGTTGTGAACAAACTGAGGTACCCACCTGGCAGCCAGGAGAAGGTGGATTTGGCCAGGTTCTTCCTCCTGAAGCATTGCAACCACAGCCGAGTGGGACAGTTCATCTTGGCCCTGCTGGGGGCTGTGAAAGCAGTGATGGGAAAGGTGGGCCTTGTGTCTCTGCTGTCCGTGTCAGTGTGTGCTCCCAGCTCTGTCCCCTGAGCCCCATCTGCCCTCAGCCTCCGTGGCCACGTTCCCCTGGGTTCTGTTCCCTCCCAGGGGGACTCATCCCTGTTTTTGTGCCTTTCCAGATATTCTCCCCTTGACGAGAGGGGTGATGGGCAGTCAGCAGCTTTCCAGCCCCAGAACCCACCACTCACTCCCTGCAGTCCTACTGCTGAACTTTTCTCTGCTGCAATTTCATTTCTTCCAAGGTAGAAGACAACAAAAAGTACCTAAAGCACAAGTACACCAAGCTCAAGGCTCCAGCTTCTGCTGCAGCAGGAATTTATCCAGACCTAGGCCACGGGTCATGCCTGAGCAGTGAGTGGCAGATGGAAGGAAACAGCATCCACCCTGCTTTGTAAACAGGAGCTTATCTAAAAACTCTTGGGAATGGGGGAGTGTTTGTCACAAGGGTACCTAAACAAAGCCAGTTGTTACTGAGCCTGTTATCTACTTAATGCCTGCCTGATTCCCATAGGAAGCTAACTCATTACAGCAATAAGCCCAGCAAATCGTGGGTGTCACTGCAGGGAACAGTCCAGGCTGCTTGTCCCCAGAGCAGAGGGAAGGATCCTGGAAGAACCTGCAGCATCCCATCCTTTATGGGACTCATGACCGAGTGGGTGATGCTCCTTGCGGGGAAATCACCCTTAGCCATCTAAGGTGTGCAAAGGGCACCTGAGTGACAGCAAAGGCTCTCTGAGCTGCAGCCACACTGTCCCAAGGACTCGAGGAGTGCCAGGAGTGCCACAACTGCACTGCTGCTGCACTGCTTCTGGGGCTGCTGGGGCAAAGACAGGGGCTTTGCTGCAACCAGAGTACCAGGTCAGGGATGTCCTCGGCCAGGGTGGCAGAGCAGCCAACCACCTCATCTGCAACTGAATTTCAGGTTTTTATTGGTTTTTAGGTAGTCTTTTACCTCTAAACTTGTAACTGAGAGCTGACCTTGACCCTTGCTGAATAAAACCTTTGTTTTACTGCAAAGGCCACCTGGGACAGGACAAGACCCACGTGTGCAGCCCCCAGCATCAGATGCTCCCTGCTCCAACCCCAGCCCGCCCTCAGCCTCCACCCAAAGGAGCCAGCCCAACTCCAGATGGGTTTATTCTTTATTGGGCCTTTGTCACGGAGCAGTCGTGTGAGCCGGGCCGTGCTCAGCTCTGGTTGGCTCTGCATGGGCTGGAGGGGGTCACCCACACGCTCAGTGTGCGTCAGGCAGCCCAGAGCAGCATTTTGGGTGTTGGAGCAGCCACAGGGCCCGTTCCCGAGCAATGTCTGAGCAGACGCTGCCAAACGCTGCCAGTGGCCCTTTGACTCCTGTGGGACAGTCCAGCGCTGAATTTTCTTGCCGGCTGGTCCGTGCTTTTAACATCTGTCCATCAGGAGGGGGCTTTCACCACAAAAACAAGTCCCCGGGTCCCTGGTGTGAGTCAGTGTTCGCTGGTCATCAGTTTTACGGCAACGCCGAGCGCGAGCACAGCGACGGCTGCGACCACCGCCAGCCCACGCCGGATGATCAGCCCCTTGGTGACCACAGGGGTGGCCCGAGAGGTGATGGCAGAAGTGGCTTCCTGGCTCTCCAGCTGGTTCGCCGAGCTCTCCCTCCTGGTGATGCCCATGAGCACGACGTCGTTCTGCGCATCCACGCCCGCTGCAAGGAGAAGGGGACAGCGTGTCTGGGGGCTTTGGGGAGATCAAGGGGTTTCTTGTGAGGGTTTTGTCAGAGGGCTGAAAGCAGGTTACAAGCAGCCCAGAGTGTGGAGATCTCCAGCTTTTTAACAGAGCTTTGGTAGGACCTGGTGTCTGCAAGGTGAGAACTGCCCAGGGTGCCCAGAGGTCGCCCCTCCACCAACTTGCTGCACCCTGCCCAGCCTGCAGTTGTAATTACTGTTCTCTCAGTAACTGAGGGCATCACCAGCACTGCACTGCACCCCCCTTTTGTGGGTATGTTCCTGTCTTATGTGAATCCCTGGGGACACTTCCTGGACCCAAACCCTGCACTGCACACAGTGCCCAGCAACCCCATCCCACCATGCCCAGCTCCTGGCCATACCAACACTCCCCAGCACCGCTCTGGCAGGGAGGTAAGTGTGGGGCTGGGGGGCTGATCCCACATCAGGGGGAAGCTCCTTGCAGGAGGGTTCAGGGCTCAGGTTTGGCTCCTCAGGTGGTGGCTGGGTCACTCCTGCACGGCGCTGAGCCTGGGGAGGGAACGCGCTGGGTTTAGGCGGCGGCACGTGCTGTGGGCAATCCCCACCGAGCAAAGCCAACGCGTTGCCTCTTGTGGGGTTCAGCTCCAGGGAGACCCCAGAGCTGTTGGGGCACAGGGTGACACTCAGGGCTGAAGGGCTGAGTGCTCTGTGCTTCATGTCCCCCAGCCAGAGGTGGCACCAGGTGGTGGCAGCAGGGGAGCAGATGGGGCAGGAGGGAAACCTTGAGGCCTCTGAGTGCATATGCAGGAGGGAGCTGAACACAGGGGTGTAAGTCATGGGAGCGCTGGGTTTAACTCAGGGCACTGGAGGACAGTGCAGGCCATGAGACTGAGCCCGTGCTGCTGTTGTCTGACCCCAGTGCAATCACAGCCAAGGCACTGAGGACCTTCCTGCTGGCGGGGCACAGTGTTGGCAGTGCCTGGATTACCTTCTCAGCTGCTTTCTTCCAGTCCATGCGGGAGATGTGGACGAGGAAGCAGGTGGAGAGGATGAAGACGCAGACCAGCATGCTGAGCCACAGGCCTGCAGAGGGCATGCCGGTGTCAGCTGGGGTAAACCCAGCAGAGACAGCATCCCGGGACAGCAGGTCAAGGACAGGGATGGCACCAAGGTCAGCAGGGACAGAGGGAAGGGGTGGTCATGGGTGCCTGTTGCAGGAACCAGCTCAGCCCAGCCTGCTGTGCCCTGTCCCCAGGCAGATCTGAGGCAGGGTCATGGTGAGCCATCAGTGGAGCTGGGGGGGGAGCTGCAGGTACCCATGGGGGATTTGGGGGCCCAGGGGTCAGTACCTATGACGCCGATCCTGGCCACGAAGAGCAGCACAGCTGCCAGGGGCATGCCCACACCATAGTAGCACACGGCGTTGAGGATGGCTCCGAATTTCTGCTTCCCGATGCCTCTGAGCACCCCTGCACAGGCACCCTGCAGGGAGAGGGAGAGGGGCTGGGGCAGGGGCTGCCAGCTCGGCTCAACTCAGGGCTCTGCTGCTGCCTGCAGATGAACCAGCTCCCCACCTCTGCCCGTTATTTCTGTGTCCCTGCCCAGTCCTGTGGGTAACCATCTCTTTATACAACTCTAATTTTCTAAGGAAATGATCCTGGGATCCCTGCAGGGTCCTGGTGTGGGCACCAGTGCTCACCTGCAGCCTGAGGGACCCTCGACCCACTGACCCACGATGCTGCTGCTCAGCACCAAGGTCCCCTAAGGAAAACAGCAGTATTCCCTGGGACTTACAGTCATGGCTTCAAACAGGTGGAAGACAACATAGACAGGCATGACCCACGCCACCAAGTCAACAATCTCCCTGGGGGCAGAGAAAAGGCACTTGATCACTTTTGGGAACTGAGCTCTGTGCACTGAGGCCGGGAGCCGGGGACACTCACTTGTCCTGGGTGAAGATGTATCCCAGCACGTTCTTGGCAGAGACTAAAACGATCCCCACGGCTATGCAGAGCGCCCCTGGAAACAGAGCAAAGTGCTGAGCCCAGCCTGGCCATGATGCAGAGCTGCTGAAGGGAGACAGCGGTGGGAGAAGTGGCAGGCAAAGGACTTCAAATGCTCCCTTGGTCCCTGCTCTGCCTGGAAGGAGCCCGGAGGCAGAGGCTTCCCAGCATGTTGTGGACTGACCTGTGCAGAGCAGGCTGGTGGTGGAGGATCTCTTGGCCGTCTCGAAGTCTCCAGCACCCAGAGCGTTCCCCACCTGCACACTGGCAGCTGTGCCCAGCCCCAGAGGGATCTGAAACCACAAGGCTGAGGCTTGTGTGTGTGTCTGGATAACTGGGCTGTCACAGTGACAGCGGAGTAACGACCCAGCAGAGAGGGGGACAGAGTTCAGGGTTTGATTTGAGGCATCTGTACAGGAGGGATAGGCAGGAGCAGGGAGAGGCTTAGTGCAGAGGGGGAAGATGGAGCTTTGCTGGAGCTGATTTCTGCTGTGCCTGTCTCGGGATGGTCCCCATGGAGCCCTGATCTCTAATAATAACCCCAGTCCTTACCATGAAAGCAACGACAGACACCTCATAGATGATGGACTGGGCAGAGAGTTCGACGACGCTCAGCAGGCCTGGGGAGAGGAAGGTGGCCAGTGCTGGCTGTGGGTGCGCAGGGGAGAGCTGCTCTCAGCCCCTGCAGCTGCTGCAGGCGCTGCTCTGGGTCACCTCCCAGCAGCTCCCCTCTCCACTGACCTATCAAGAAGCTCCCGATCTCGTAGGTCCACCACTCAATGCACATCATGAGCATGCTGGGGATGGCCAGGGAGGTGAAGCTGTCCCACTCCAGCAGGCATTCGGTGGACCAGCCTGCAGAGAGGAGAAACATCACCCAATGGATGGCCAGAATGGACACCTGTTACATCCTGGAGTGCACCTGAGGCAGCTAGAGCTGCCATTCCTGTTCACAAGGCAAAGCTCCTCAGCTCCACAGGACCTCCAGCAGCAGAGCTGCACCTCCGTTCTCTCTGATGTTGTCCGGTGGGCCACAGGGCAGTGCAGCCCTCAGCCCACCCCTCCCAGAGCAGAGTGCCTAAGGACAACCTCCTGCTTACGCCCGTGCTCATCCGGCTTCGGGGCTGAACCCTTCGGAGCCTCAGCAGGAAGTTTCATTTCTCCAGAATTAATGTTTAGTGGCCGGCACGGACCCTGCCAGCGCTCGTGCGTGACGTGCTGCCACCCAAGCAGCTCCGTGGTACCCGGGGCGTGCGGGGCTGGGTTAATATTTCACCACCGGGACAAACAGAGTTTGTCTTCTGTCAGGAACGCTTGATGGAAGTGCTGGAAGTTTTATGGACACTCGGGTAAAGCGTGAGCCAGAGGGAGCGAGGGAAGGGGATGCCCTCACCTCCCCAGGTCTTCACGTGGAGTTTCCTGCCTATGATGTACAGGAACAAGAAGATGGCTTGCGAGTACTGAGCGACGGTGTTGGACCAGGCAGATCCCCTGCAGAGGAAGCGAGAAAGGTCGTCTCCATCCTGCTTTTGTGCCTCCCTGGCCTCAGGGTGCTGGGACGGGACGTTCCGCCATGCCCCTCTGAGCAGCAGATGCTCGGTGTTCCCTTGCCGTTGGCAGGCGCCGCGTTGTCCGCCTCCCCGGGACACGGGGGTGCCACTCACGTGATGCCGAAGTGGAACACGTAGAGGAAGATGCAGTTTGCCACCACGTTGACGACGTTGCCGATGACCCCGCTCAGCACCAGCGGCCACATGATCATCTGCAGAGAAGAGGAGACGGGGCCACAGCGCCTTCACAAAGGCTCCGGGAGGGAGGTGAGAAGGTCCCCACCAGCCCCCCACCCCGGGCTCAGCGCCTTTCCCAGACAAAAAATAAACTTCCAGTGGTGTTGCCTGCTTGGGAAATGAATGTGTTGGAGGTAAATCCCTGATGTGGAGGTAAATCCCTGATGAAGGGAGTTGGATGGATACACCTGGCTGTGGGGTGGGGTGATCTACAGGGTCAGAGCTGTTTTGGGGCACCTGGGCAGTGGTGGAGACATATGCTGCCTCCTCATCTGGAATGGTGAGCATGGAAACCCCCGGGTTCATGGTGGAAGGGAACCAGGGCTGGTTCATGGGTGTGAGAACTTGAGGACCTACCTGGTTCTGCAGGTATCTTGCCTCCAGGTTATACAGAAACACCGCCTGCAAAGGAAATTGGTGGATGAGATGAGCCAGTGCTGGGCAGTAGGAGTGGGGTGGCATCGGGGGCGCCCACAGGGGACTCACCGGGAGAGCAGGGACAAACGCCATCACGTAGCGCTGGGTTAACCTGGGGGCACACAGAGCAGGGTTAGGGAGAGGCAGGGCCGTGGCCACCCTCCTCTCAGCCCCACCATGCTGGGGAGGGACAAGGGGCCATGGGACAGCCTGACCTGGAGACCTCGGGGTCCTGCCGGATGAGGAGCATTAACTGCTCGATGTTGATGAGGATGGCACAGCAAGGGAAGCAGCAGAGGAGGATGATGATGGTGGCACGCTGCAGGATCACCCCCACCCGCAGCAGGTTCTTGCTGCCATAGGTCTGCAGGGCAAGAGGGCAGAGGTGAAGTCAGCTGGTGCTGGGGGATAGGGACCCCACAGAGCACGGAGCAGCCCTGACCGCCCTGGAGACCGCCCAGGGAGGATTTGGAGCGTGGATCTCCCTGTTACGGGATTGCTACCCAGGGACAAGCTTTCCCAGCTCACAGGAGCAACCAGGGCTCCGTGGAGCATCATCAGCTGATGCTGGAAACCCCCATGTCCCCAGGACAAGCTCCAGCACGTCTTACCCACCTGAGATATCAAGGTGTCACACGCCGAAGTCAGACCATAACCTACAGAGATGGCAGTAACATTTATAACCTGGGAATGGGAGTTAAGAAAACAAAGAGTGAAGGCGAGAATTTAAGACTTACAGGTAGGGAGAGGGGTTAAAAGGAAAAGGGGGAGTCTGAAATCTCCCGTCCTTTTCTGCTGCCATTCCAATATCCCATCCCAGTGTCACTGGGGTGGGGGGGAGTTCATGCCTGGCACCGGGAATGCTTACAGCGATGGCCAGCGTGACGGAGGCCAGCTCAACCTTGCCCAGGTGACCACAGAATATGGAGCTAACAAGGTGTATCAGGAAGATCAGCAGCTGGATCAGGATCTAAGCACAGAGGAGAGGAGAGGCGAAGGTTAGTGACAGAGGTGAGCAGAGCGAGTGGTTGTGCTGGGGTGGGGGGGTCTCTCCTCCCAGGTCTTTACCAGCGGCCCCGCCAGCACCAGCAGCTTCTTCAGGTCCTCCCAGAAGTTTTCCGGGACCAGGCGTTGAATCCAGTGGCCTTTCTTCTCGCAGCTCCCGGGTGGGAGGTTGTCCTGGCCAGAGGCCACTGCCTCACCGTTCTCCTCGGGGAGGTTCTCTGTCTTCGTGCTGCCATTCTCCCCAGGAAGGTTCTCCGGCTTCATGCTGCCGCTCTGCCAGGGCAGTGGAACAACCCCTCCCTCCGCGCTCTGTTAAACCACGGTGGGGTGAGCAATGTGTAACCACGGTGGGGTGAACTTCAGCCGGGGCCGGATGAGCCGGCCACACGTTCCCTGCCGCTGATGGTAAGTGCGGGCAGTGGGTCAGGGCAGGGCACGGAGCTGGGGAGCCCAGTGAGGGTGCTGGCAGCACAGTGGAGCCCAGCAAGGCACTTACTGCCTGCCCTGAGCCAGCACAGGGGCTGAGCCATCCCAAACCTGCCCTGCGAGCCCTCGTACCTTCTCTCCTGCTTCACCACAGCTCTGCCGGCCGGTGGGCTGGAGGGTCGTCCTCCTCTTCCAGCAGCGATGGAGGATTCTTGGATCTGTGTGCGGTCTCTGGTGAGCTGCTGCCGCAGTGGTGGGGCCGCTGTCTCGGCCCCTCTCATCGCAGTGGCCAAGACAAGCCGGCCCCCTTGGCTCCAGCTGTCGGCCTGGCACAGCCCCACCGTGTCGGGTTTCACTGGCACAGCTCCCCTCGGCCAAATATAGTGTCCTTGGCCCACGGGGAAGGCAGGCAGAGGGAGCTGCTGCTGCAGCTCAGACCTGCTCCTGCGTGGAGCGGGAGGTGGGCTGGGGTAGCTCATGGGGCACAGTGAGACCTCCCATCCCAAACCTACTGGGATTCTGAGCAGGGCAGTCTGCCACAACAGCCCCACAGCTGGGAAGAGGCCCTGGGTGTTGGGGGTGATGGCAGTTTCAAGCTCGTTTACATCAAACGTTTTCATTCCCAGCCCCACAGGTCACCAGCACCCCGAGCCAGGATGACAGGGAGGAGCCATTCATCTGCTTTACACAGGATTTACCTTCGAGGGCCCGGCATGTGCCACCTCTCAGTCACTCAGCTGCAGGTAAGAGCCTGGGACAGGGCCAGAGGGACTCAGTGCTGAGGGCAGGCAGGGATGGGGGGTTTGCATTATGACGTATGGCAGTTCTTTGACGGTTCTCTGATGGAGGGCTGTGCAACACATCCACCCTCATCCCTGGCGCTCAACGGTGCAGAAAGCAATTGAGGAGCACAAACCCTGCTTTTGTACCCGAGGGGAGCAGAGTGATGACACTACACCCAGAGCCAGCCCCAAACCTCAGGGCCAAAAGCCTGAGGCTGCTGTCAGGCTGCACAAACCAGACCCGTGTCTTTCCTCTTAACAGCACAGTCATGCCAATGACCAGGGTCATGCACACACCACGTTAAACAGCCCAACATTTACTCAGAAAACTTTATTGTATCAAAATCCCACCTTACAAAAGTGCAAAGAAGAGTTGCTTTAGGCCCTGTGCCTGCCCCGCCACGGGGGCAGTGGGGCCAGGGGCCAGCAGCCAGCACCCAAACAGCAGCCAGACATCTTCCAGCTGAATCCACCTTGCCCTGCGCTGCCACGGCAGCTGCGAGTGGGCTCTGCCACGGCAAGATGCTGGCACAGGCCAGGAAACTGTGCTGTGGGCAGCAGGAGCCTCTGCCATTAGCAAATGATAGGGAGAAATGCCCTCAGGGACAGGACAGCAGCAAAAGGACCCTGTCTCCTTCCAGGGTCAGCCCCAGGATATGCTCCCACCCATCATGAGTGACATCCCAGTGCAATGCAGGAGAGGAACCGGCTCTCAAGCACTTTTTTTTCCCCAGGTGCCACATCCTCACCCCCTCTAAGAACTCTGAGCGTGGGATAAAACATCGTGAGTGAACCAGAAACTGAGCAAAGGGACTTTTTGTCAAGAAGCGAGGGGAAATTCCTTCCCCGCACCATCCTCCTGGGACACCACCACGTGCCCTCCTGCTCTGTGCACACTCCCCAGCGTCACTGGCTCTAGCCATTGCCAGTCAGGAGCCGGACCAGGATGCCCACCAGCAGGACAGCCACAGCAGCAGCAGCAGCCAGCACACGGCGCAGGATCAGGGCCCTCCACACCCCGGCAGGAGGAGCAGCGAGAACAACAACAGGCTCCTCCTGTGCGATGAGCTCGTGGTCAGGTTGCCTCTCGCCCACCACGATGTTTTCAGGCAAGGCCACGGTGTCCACAGTGTCCACGGTGTCCACAGTGTCCACAGTGTCCACGGTGTCCGTGTCAACAGAGGTGTAATCTGTGTGACAGAGAGGCCAGCGCTGCAGGGAAGCCGAGCTGCCAAGTCAGGGGCTTCCAGCCTGATGCTACACAAGGGCCAGTGACAGTCCTGGGGGTCCTTTTCCAAGGCTTGGGACACTGGGACATGCCCCAGCAAAGTGAGGCAGACACGGGTTGGCAGCCCAGGCTCTTCCCTGGAGCAGCCAGCACAGCAACAGAGTACCCTGTCACTAAGTGCAGACCTGGGACCAGCACCAGGCACTGTGCTCTTTCCAGCCATCTGAGCCTGCAGGACAGACACGGCTGCCACGACTGGGAAGGAAAGGAAGGGGCTGGGTGGAGAATTTGGGCTCCCACCCCGGTGTCAGGCCCGGTTACATACCCACAGCAGATGTTTTGTTAGCAGCTGTGCCACTGGAGTTCACGTCTTCCAGTTGTACTTTTGTTCCAGCTCGGACTTGAGCCTAAAAACACAGAGAAGAGTTGCTCTTCTCAGGGCAAGGCTGTCCTGCCCAGCCCAGAAAACTCTCCACTCTCCCAAGACAAGCATGCTCAGCACCAAATGGCTCCTCTGCTACAGGAGAAGGACAGATCCCAGTTCACTTCTGCCTCTTCCCAGAGGGCTGTTGCGTTGTACTGGACAGCAACTCACCCAGCACCTTTCAGGTGTTACCAGAGAGAAGAACAGGCCTCACCTCCTCTGCAGCTTTCTTCCAGTCCATGCGGATGACAAAAGCCAAGAAGGAAAGGGCTTGCACAGAGATGCAAACGATCATCCCAACCCACAGACCTGAAGAAATGGGAAATTACTTCAGGGAGGGCTCGAGAAAAACTTGCCCTTGTCAGCTACTGCCACAACGCTCAGGGACCTCAGCGGGGTCACAATATTGCCCCGTGTCCAACCCAGCCTTGATGGGAAAGGAAACACCTCCTGGGGGAGCTGGGAGCAAGCCTGGATTTACTGGGACATCTCAGCCCCCATTTGATGGGGGGTCTCAGCGCCTGCCCCAAACACATCAGCGTGCAATCCAGCCCTGCTGATCCACAGGAGGACCCAGGCACGAGTTCCAGGGCTGGGCCTTTGCTCGAGGCAGCTCATACAGCGGTAGGTGGAGGACACACGTACCCAACACCCCCATCTTGGCCGCAAACATCAGTGAGATGCCGACGGGCAGGCCCACGGTGTAATATCCGACGGCGTTGGCGATGGCACCCAGCTTCTGCTTCCCAGTGCCCCGCAGCACTCCCCCGCAGGTCGCCTAAGGAGGGCAGGCAGACACATCCCTGTCAGGTGCCACCACAGCAGACCTGGGGCCTGGCACAGCCCTGGGAACAGGGGAACCCACAGCACTGAACTGCAAAGCCAGGAGGGAGCAAAGCCACGTCCCAGAGCACCCAGCGTGGGGCTCCTGTTGCTCCAGCTGCCGACGCCAACAGGCACGCCAGCAGCTCCCACAGAGCTTTCCACGCTGCCCAGCTCCCTCTGCCTGGGACACGACAGGAGGAAACAGGTCAGAATTACTACCTAATGAGTTTATGAGCACTGCCAGTACACTGGGAGCACACGGTATCTCTGAACACCCAGCTGTTCCCAGATACCCACTTTGTGCCGCTTTGATAAGCCAGTAAAAATCTGGAGCCTTGCCAGGGGAAAAGAGGACGAAAAACTGGGTTGTTTGCAGCGATGCCAAGGGACAACTACAAGCACAGGGGACACCGAGGTACCACAGGCAGCTGCTTTGACAGCTTATCAGTTGGCTTCTCTGCACCATTTGAACAGGTCAAGAGTGAGCTACAGGCAGCTTTGCACCCTCCATGGCACCCCAGCCTGCAGGGAGAAATCACTTCCACATGCTGGAATACTCACTGCTGTTGCATCAAGCAAGTGGAACGGACCAAAGATGAGCATCACTTTGGACACCAAGGTAACGATCTCCCTGTTGGGAAGATGTATGTGCTGATCAGGGGGAAGCAGCACCAAGGACTCTGGTTCCCTCAGCCAGCTGCAAAGGCTGGTCCCAGTTCCCTGATCCCAGCCTGCTACCATGGTAGTGCCCCAGTGGCAGAAACATCTGTGCTTCCAGGCAACAGGGAGGAACCTTTGGGAACATGTTTGCCAGGTGGGGGTTTGTGAACTCTTATCTGTCAGCAGCTTCTGGGATATGAATAACACCCTCCAAGAAGGTAACAATACTCAAGAGAAAGCTGTTAACGCACTTGTCATTGGTGAAGATGTATCCCACCACGCCCCTCAGGCTCCCCAGTAACGTTGCAACCAGCACAGCAAAAACTCCTGAAAAGAAAAAGGGATTAGTCACATTGCTTCAAGGGCAGCATGTCCTGCTCCTGACCCAGGCCCAGACCTCAAAGGCTTCACGTGGTGGGGATTGGACTTGGCTGACCTCCAAGTGATACTGAAGCAGAGGACAAGTCTGTTTTCCTCATGCTCTCCCCAGATACTCCCCCTGCCTTCTGCAGGGGGAGGGCAGAACTCTAAATTGCAGTTTTAACTCCCAAAGCCTTTGCACCAGGCTCGTAACAGTGAAGAGGAGTCAGGATCTTGCCCTGCCTGAGGGGTCCAAACAAGTGGGGTTTGGGTTCCCATGGGGGGTCCCCAGCCCTGTGAGAACTGAACCATTTGCTGATAAATGCCCTTCATTCCCCTCTGCAGGACCTGAGCTCACCTGTGCACAGCAGTGCAGTGATGCAGGAGGTCTTGGCTTGCACCACATCCCCCGATCCCAAGGCATTGCCCACCCTGACACTCGCAGCCACGCTGAAGCCCAGAGGCACCTGAGTAGCAGGAGACAAGAGGAGGTGAGTGGCAGCAGAGCCTGCAGCAATTTTATTCTTCCCCAGAGGGGAATTTGGGACACACTGGTGTGGCTG